CAGTCAGGATGTTCCTTAGAGGTGAGTATGACAAGACTTTTTCCTCACACAGAATAGGCATATTGTCAGGAGGGGTTGGTAACCCAAAGAAGGATATAATTCTTGGAGGAGTGGAGTGTCTTGGCAAAAGATGGTAAGACCTTCATTACAATGATTGGCAAAGTGGCTATAATAGTAGGTTTAAACACAGTGGAGATTGTGAGGATGGTGCAAGATTAGACAAGGTTTTTGTTCTGCCATTTATAGGATAGCTAGGAGTTGAAGGAGACTCAAAGGCTCCTAACAACAACAAATAGGCTCTTACAGGGGTAGGGAGAAATTTTGTCTTGTGTATTATACAAGGTTAACAGCATTTCAGGCCTCTACCCACAAGATAACAACAGTATTCCTTCCCCATTTACTGCCTGAGGAAAGACATAGATGACTTGATATTGCCAAATATCATCCCTTGGGTGGGTAATGATATCTCTTGCCCATGTACTTAATACTCACCCATTTTTATATTCATTCAACTAGAGTAAAAATGAAAGTCAGACTGTTGGAGTTTGAAAGGTCTTTAAAGTATGGCCACAGTGGAACAACAACAACAAAAATACTAAGGCCTTAACAACATTACTGTTGTAACCTTCAACTGGAAGGGATGGAATAGCAAGATAAATCATTTGGATAATATGGTTGAACAGAGAAGGACCTTGAATTTTAGTCTATACAATAGGTGAATGGTCATATTGTTTGTTGTTGTTGAGTATCAAGTTGGAATCGACTCAATAGCTGACACTCCAGAGAATGTTCAAAGGAAGTTAACTGCACAGGAAGAGATTACCTATCCTTCTCCTGTGGAGCAGCTGGATTGCAGCACACCTTCTGGCCATTAGGGCCACCAGAGCTCCCTGCTGGTGGTGATATTACTAAATAGGTATCAGACTACATATTACAAAAGACAAACAGGAGATGCCTTTTTAGATGTTTGTTACAATTACTTATTTCTCTGATTCTAAACACCTCAACTTAAAAATAATTAGAAAAAACAAGGACATTTTTAAATTGCACTTTGTTTTGATTCTGACCTTAATAAATATGAAAGTCCCCGGCCTTCCTGATCCCCTAAACCATAAGAGTTATTACTCATATGAAAGTAAGATTTTACTATATTGGATTTGGTTTCTCTTAAGTATGATCAATCAACAGAGAGCCCAAAAGGGACAATAAGGACACTCAAGTTAGGCATACAAGTTAGGCATAAAGAGAATCAATTCATACACTACAAAAGCCAAACTTCCGATAAGGTTTCCATGGCTATAATCCTTTTTTTAATTAATTTTAATGAAAGTTTACAGAGACTTAGGGTTTCCAGTCATTCATTGTTGCACTCCCTGAGCACCGCTCCCCCGCCCCCATTCATTCTTTTTCTTGAAAAGTAAAAGAAAAACTCTTTCATTGTTATGCAATCCCTCCCCTCAAGTCCACTCCACTGTGCATTCTTCATTCTGGACTCCTGTCATGACAATAATACCCAATCATATATCCCTTTTAAACACTTCTCTCTCTCATCTGCTTCAATGCAGTATACATCATTCCTCCCCTCTTCCTCTGTCTTCCCTCAACCCTGATGTGTCGTTTTACAACAGTGGCCCTATGCAATATTTGTCCTTTTGTGACTGAGATATTTCACTCAGCATAATGTCCACCAGGGTCATCCATTTCGCATAATATTTCATGACTGCCTTGCTTTTCAGTGCTGCAAAGTATTCTATTGTGTGAATATACCAGAGCTTCTCTAGCCATTCATTTGTTGATGGGTATTGATATAATCCTTATATGATGGTACTACTTATCTTTCTTGAAAGGAGCAGCTAGCTGGTAGATTTGATCTACTTATCTTTAGTGCAGCAGCCCATTCAACCCACTGACATTTCCGTTAGCGGCCCACCTCAGTGTATGCCTCTAGGGCTCCTTAATCATTCCATATTGCCTCAGAAATATACACCTTTCCTCTTCTAGAATAATAGATATAAGAAATGGTCTAGCCAACTGAAATAGGCCATTCTCACTTAGGTTGGCAGCTGGGTTTATGTTAATTTTTTTACTTGTAAGGGACAATATTAATTAACACACTAGCCTTTTCCCCTTGATTTATATCTTCAGACTCTTCAATTGTTGTTCTAAGCAATAGCAAAAAAAAAAATCAATTGAAATAATTTACCTTGGGATGAAAAGCAAAACACATTCCAGGAGCTTGTCGAGATATCAAAGCTTCACTTTTCTTTTCTTTTTCCCCTATTCTTTTGTTCATGCTAGTGGTAGTTCGCCTCAACCGCATCAGATCTTTATTTAAATGGAACAATATGTATAAAACATTATTTGTTACAGGAATAAATATTTCAAGCATTACATTTGTATTTTCTGCATAATTATATTATGATTTCTACCAATTTTTCATACACTAGGTTAAGGTTATCAAATATTTAGAAACAAGAATAAGCAAGCCTATTTTTTTTTATTAGCCAAACTAGAAATTGTCATCTTTCACAAGCAGCTTATTAGAAATTTTTATTTCACACAAACAGTAGAAAGAGAAATTTTTTTTTTACCGTGACAATCCAGTCCTTTTCTTATAACCCATTTAGAGATTCTTCCATCTGCTGATATTGAAACTAGTATTTCTCTTTTGTCTTCACCTGTTGTTCCTCGATCTTGTTCTATCCACTGCAGTTGCCAGATAGGTCCCAAATGTTGATGAAAAGATTCACTAAAAGGAGGGGAGTTGCTAAATATAGAATTATTAAAATTTTTTTAAATGCCTTCAGGTGTAAGCAATAATGTTAACTCCCTAGAGTGCCAGGGCTTACAGTAAAGAGGATATTTTTATTATTTAAATTATGCAGTTATTTAAATACCAGTCAAATAAACAATCATTTTACTCTTATTTCTATATTTCAAAATTGCTAACTGGCTTGGATTATCTACTGTATTGAGATCTAAAAATATTATGAAAGATTAAAACCACTTCTCAGATTACTGCTAGTTTTTCTATTATATTGATGAAGTGTTTTGTTCTTAGTGCTTTTCACAATTTTGTTATGTGAACCCTCTAAAGCAGTATTTATGAACATTATTAAGACTGTAGATATAGTTTAGTATTTTGGTAAAAAATATGGCCGTCTTCCTAAAAACAAGTACAAAGTCCAATATTTACAAAACTGTGCAAATAACTGCAAAGTTAAGACTAAAAGTTCCTCATATCTAACATCAAAAGGAGATGGAGAGAATACACAGTCACTGTGTCAAAAATAATAAGTCATCACTGAGAAATTTCAGGAAATAACATATGAACAAGAGCCAATGGTAATAAAGGGTGAAGTTTAAGCTGCATTGAAGGCATTGAAAAATATAAGGACCAAGGAATCTATGGGCTACCAATTGTCATGTATCAACTAACAGATACAGCCCTAGTTCATCAGACTATACTAGGAAATTTGGAAGGTAATTGCCTGGCTGAATGACCAGAAGAGATCTATATTTATTCCTACTCCCAAGAAAGGGATCCACTAGAATGTGGTAATTCACAAACTATTACTATTACATGCAAGCAAAATATCGTTGAAGATCATCAACAAAAGGCTAGAAAAGTATATTGACTGGTAACTTCAGAAGTTCAAACTGGGTTTAGAAGAGGTCTTGGCACCAAGGATGACCATGCTGATGTCAGATGGATCCTGAATGAAAGCAGGGATACCAAAAGAATGTCTATTACGGTTTCCTTGACTGTCTAAAGGCATTTGACTGTGTGGACCATAACAAACTATGACTAATATTGAGAAGAATGTAAATCTCAGAGTATTTAATTGTGCTCATGAGAAACCAATACCTAGATCAAGAAGCTGCTGTCTAAACATAACAAGGGAACTCTTTATGGTTAAAAATCAGGAAGGGAGTATGAAAGGGATGTGTCCTTTCTCCATACCTATCAAATCTGTATGCTGAGCAAATCATTCATGAAGCTGGACGCTAGAAAGAGGAATTTAGTATCAGGATCAGAAGAAGACTATCAGTAACCTGCTTTATGCAGATGATACAACCTTGCTTGCTGAAAGTGAAGAGGACTTGAAGCACTTGATGCAGAAAATCAAGAACTACAGCCTTCAGAATGAACTGCATCTCAACATCACGAAAACCATGGTCCTCAACCAGGGGCCAATAGACAACATCATAATAAAAGGAGAAAGTGTTGAAGCTATCAATGATTTAATCTTATATGGATCAACAATCAACACACTAGGCACCAGTAGTCATGAGATCAAAAGACGTATTGCACTGGGCCAGTCCACTGTTAGGGACCTCTCCAAAATACTTAAGAGCAATGATGTCAGCTTGAAGACTAAGATGCACTTGATTCAGGCCATGGTCTTTTCATGCACCTGAAAGCTAGACAAAGAATAAGGATAATCGAAGAATTGATGCTTTTGAGTTGTGGTGCTAAAAAAACAGTACTCAGCATCCCATAGACTATCAAAAGAACAAACAGATACATCTAGGAAAACATGCATCCAGAGTGTTCCTTGGAGACAAAGATAATGAAGCACCATCTCTTATACTTTAGACATATTGCTAGGAGAGGCTATTTCTTGGAAAGGGACCTCATGCCTGGAAAGAAAGAGCGTCCGCAAAAGAGAGGAAGATCCCAAATGAGATGGATTTGATACAGCAGCAATTGGCTCAAGATGATGAGGACAGCACAGAATACGACAGGGTTCAGGTCTCTTGTGCATAGGATTGCTATGAATTGTACTCAGCTTGATGGCACCTAATAACAACAACTTCTGAGTAATCTGGTTACTTCTAATTTTACCTAAATATATTAAAATTCTCATACAATGCATACTTATTCAAACACTGATAGAAATGTTATTATTATCTGGTCTATTCAAAGAACATAAATGTCTCAATATCTTTTATCTTTAACTTTTTCTCAACATGACTGATTCATTAATTTACTGCTTATTAATCAAGTATTTACTGTACTCCCATTGCATACAATACAGTATGATCTACAGAGGCTATAAAGGCAGTAAGGGTCAATCCTGACCTTTAAGTGGTTTTCAGGCTTCTTAGAAAGATATATACATAAACTAATAATTCACATTAATATTATTAATTACACATAAATTAATAAATCACACATGCAGTGTGATAATCCTATGATAAAGAATTATATAGGATACACCAAAAATTTAAAAAGGAACAGGAGGTTTCTTGTAAAAGTTGATGCCTAAACAGTATTTTAAGAACAAATATAATTCATTAAGCCTATGAAAATCTGTAGGTTAAATAGATAAGATGATGAAGAGGCTGTTAAACAGAACATTCCAGCTTAAGATATAAAGAATTATTAAATGTTTCAAAATTAGGGGTGGTACTTTCAGTAACAACATAAGCACTCTCTCAAAACTAGTAGTTGGGGGCCTAAAGGGGAAAGGAGTTGGAACAAAGGGGTGAGGAATAGTGAGGGGGGAAATCATGGGGTTACCAGTTTAGTGGGTGGGGGGAGGGGTTAAAGGAAAATGGGAAAGATCTGTAGGGGATCTGAAGAGAAGGTAGAACGGTGACTCATTTTATAAAACACAGTGAATGGAAATGATTGTATGAAACTGTGTGAATGAAGGATAGTGTGAAACACAATGTATCCAAATTTTGTATGCAAATTAATATAAAAGTTTTTTTAAACCTAATACTTGAGCTAAGAGAATACGCCGTCCTCTTTTCCTTATGACTCAGGGTGAAGTCTCTCTCAGGGAGGAGTGATAGGGAATGGCAAAGGATACACTGACAAAGAAGATTAATCAGAACTGGTTTTTACAAGCACTGTGGCATTTGGACAAGAACAAACTGGGAGGAGGGTAGAGAGAATAGTGCAACAATGAATGAGTGGAAGCCCAAAATCTCTGTAAATGTTTATGAAAATTAATAAAATATAATTATAGAAAAAAAACCTAATACTTGGGTTTATTTCTATTCCTTTTTTAAAAAAGCACATGGCATACATTTATCTTATTTTTGGATTCTCACCTGCTATCCAGAACTGGAAGAGTACTGTTGCTCTGTACATTATAAATTGAAATTGAGCCACTGTAATAGCCAACTGCTAAAAGGTTAGGTGATCCAATGGAAAAATCCACAGCAGTAACTCCATGTAAACTCTGGTAAATACGTTCTGGCCACTGAATAAAAGAATAATAGTTATTATATTGTGCATTAGACTACTTTTTCTAGGTCACAATAAGGAAGTTGATTATCAAGCCAATTAAAATAGAACTGCTGTTGTTGCATGCTGTAGTGTCAGAACCAACCCAGAGCTGACGCCAGTGGATTTTCAGAGGCAGTAAATCATACAGCAGGAGATTGCTCAACCTTCTCCCATGGAGCAGCTGGTGGATTCAAACTGTAACTTTCAGGATAAGAAGCAGTGCAGCTTCTTATCACTAGACCCCTAGAGTTCCCTATAATTAGAATTAAATGAAGAATTTAAAGTAGGAGTTTAATACGACTTACTTTATACTTTTTGGGATAAAAAAACACCCAAAACCCACTTTGAATGCTATGTGGAGAACTGAGCATAGTAGGTAAAATTGAGGCAGCATGAGACATTAATTGTGGCAGTAGTCTTGCAGGATATGGTAGGGCTTGAGATGAGGTGGGTGGCCATGGGGATATAAGAAAGACTAGTCTTCATTATTAGAGCCCTAGTAGCATAGTCTGCAGAGAAACACATAGCTAATCCAAAGCCACTAGTCATTCCATAGGAGAAAAATGGGCAATCTCCTCTCATGCGATTGGGTCAGCTATGAGATGGTTCAAATTAAACAGTACATTAACAACAAAGAACAACCTTCTTTTTTTGTTTGTTTTTAAAAATGTTATTGCAGTTCAAATCAGCATAACTGGTTCGTTTCAGCTCCTTCACTGCCAAACCTGTGGGCAGGGATTGCTTCAGCTTCTCGGCCTCTTCTTTGTCTGTGATGACCAAGGTATAAAGGTACCTGGTACCTGCTGCACTGAACCTTAAACTTCACATTATCCTTATTTTTATTGATCTTGACAGATTTGGCATCCTTTAGCATGGCCGTGAGCAGGAAGCCTTTGATTTCCTCAGTTGTACGAGGCATGGCGGCGAACGTGGGGCACTGCAGGCGCGAGCTGGTACAGCCAGCAGCCAAAAGCGAGGAGGATGGAAGAGGCCGGGACTTCCAAGAGTAACCTTATAGAAACAAATAGTTGGCCCCAAACAAATCATATACTAGGTAATACTATGTATCTTGCAGTAATTATTTCAGATGTTTAGACTATATAATATTTTTGCAGTGCATCTTTTTTATTACCAAAATTATTAACAAATATACAAAACGTATCTTTGTCATTTTCTTACCTCCATTTATTCTAATACTGATTTGTGTTCAAGTAGGTCATCTACATGTTGTAAACATGCCTTGGGTTTGACCTCACACAGATTAGGAAAGAGCTCTAACCCATGCTTTTATCAAGTACTTCTCTTTCATTGGCTTTCATTTGTAACATCTAATCTTCATATGTAGCACATGAAAGAGACATCTACAGTGCAAAGGAGGGAGACTTTTCTGATTTAGTTCTGAATCACTGGTCAGGGGCACAGTTAAAGAGCTCAGAGGAACATGAGCACCCTAACCTGGAGTGGCACTAGTTGTTATATCAACTCTTTGTCCAGCCATTAAACTTGAGCACGAAGTTAATGTCACCTCCCTCTCCTCCCCACCTCCATGCAAGGCTAAATCAGTCTTAACCTCAGCTGAAAAGGATTAAAGGAAATTTCACACATCCTGACACAAATAGGTTAATCTCACCAAGGAAATACCTGTCTGTGTCGTATTTTGGGGCTTGGTCATTGCCTCGATGATCCTGTAAAACCGCCAGTAGAGTATTGATCATCAGTAATTTCTAAACAGTTAATAGACATAAAGAGGCTTCAAAATTGTTGAGATACACTCTTTCACAAATCTCTGAAGTGTGTGTGTGTGTGTGTGTGTGTGTGTGTGTGTTTCCTTTTCATTTCTAATATAAATACTTTCCTATTTCTAATCATCTAAGTAAAGCAAGAAGACAAACTACTGATAATGGACCCAGTCAATACTTCCACATGCTTAATATTGCTTCTTCCTTTCATTAATGACATGTAAGCCCAAACTCCTAACAGAATAGAGCTGTTCATAAAAACTTCAATAATTTGTTATATGCTCTTCTGGACTTTCTGTTTTTCACTTTACATGTACTTATGTGCTTAAGTATAAGGAATTAGACTGCCAATACAAAGGAACATGATTTGAATCCAAAAGCTGGGAAATCTCCTCCTTTGCCATTTACTGCCTCTGAAAACCAGCTGGAGGGTCAGTGGTTCCCACTCATGCACACAATGGCAAAAATAAAGCTGAAAAGTGACAGATTGACTCATGATATTTAGCAAAACAAATGAGTGTACTTTTTATTAAAAATGCATGACAGAAAAAATGCATGACAGTTAGTTATACATAAACAATCTTGTATCTGCTGAAGAAAGCAGAGATAAGCGATAAGGAATGACTCATATTAAGAAGTACCCTAGTAGTTAAAATCATATGTAATTTTCAAAGGACTTTAATTTGCCAATTAAGTCTTCTTTATAATTAGCTATGATTAACAATAATGATTAAATTCTGCATCATCAGGTCAACAGCATATTGTAAATAATAGTTACAGAACAAATTTCCTTTATGCTATGTAACTGAGAACAAATTGTTATTAATAAAATGGAAAAAAATGAAAACAAAACTTTTGACTGACAAAATTCTCTTGCTATTATCACATACAATTATTTAATCTATGAAAATTAGTTCAACATTTCATTAACTAAATAAAAATGGATTTTAAATTTTGTTTACATTACCATGGGGTTCTTTAGAGACCAGCAGCAGGCCAGCCCTCTTTTTTGCTCTTTAAATCCAAAGTGCCCATAGCCAACAGCCAAAATATCCTGAAAATAGTGGGAGAAAGAAGATAGCATAAAAATGTTTGCATATGTATAAAATCCCTGCTGATGAACTGTGTTAAAAATTTCCATTCAGAGGAAAATATCACTATTTCTTCTAATTTTACTATACACTTCCATCTTCCAAACCAAAAAATTATTCCTTCTTATCTTTGCTGTCTAAAGAGTAGGTTCCTAAAAAGAACCAATTGCTTACAAAAAAAGTTCTTTCAATATGTTAATTAATATTCTGAGATTATATTCTACGATAAGATTATGCTGACAATGCAAGAGATGAAGACCCCCGATGAGATGGATTGACACAGTAACAAGAGTAATGGGGTAGGTGTTTTGGTCGTGAGACTGGCTCAGGACAGGGCAGTCTTCAGAGATAATGTACATAGGGTTGTTATGAGTTGCAAGTAACTTGATGGCACACAACAACAACAACAACAACAATGGTGTATGAAAATAAACTGATAATTTAAAATGTAAAGTGAAGGGCACTTAAGTTAAAAGAAACAAAAAGATAAATGTAAAATAAATGACAACTATGTTAGTTGGATCTTGGCAGAAAGCAAAGAGTACCAGATGGACATCTATCTGTGTTTCATTGACTATGCGAAGGCATTTGACTGTGTGGATCACAACAAATTGTGGTTAACCTTGAGAAGAATGGGAATCCCAGAACACTTGATTGTGCTTATGTGAAATATATACTTGGACCAGGAAGCAGTCCTCAGAACAGAGCAGAGAAGCACTCCATGGTTCAAAATCAGAAAGAGAGTGCAATCAGGGATGCATATTGTCTCCATACATTTTCAATTAATATGCAGAACAGATCATCTGTGAAGTAGGGCTTTATGAGGATGAATGTTGTATCAGGATTTAAGGAAGATTCATCAACAGCTTGTTATGCAGATGACACACAACTTTGCTTGCTGAAACTGAGGAGGACCTGATGTTCTTGAAGCAGAAGGTCAAGGACTATGGTCTTCGATATGTATTGAAGCTCAATATCAAGAAGACAAAGATTCTCACCACTGAGTCAACTGGAAGTACCATAATGGATGGTGGGGAAGAGATTGAAATTGTTAACAGTTACAGCTTGCTCAACTCCACAATCAACAAAAGATGAATTGCATTAGGTAAATCTGCTGTCAGGAAACTTTCCAGAGTACTGAAAAGCAACAATGTGAATCTGGAGACTAAGGTGTGCCTGATCTAGTCCATGGTATTTGCAATTACTTGCTATGCATCAGAGAACTGGATAATGACTAAGGATGACGGAAGAGAAACTGATGTCTTTGAGTTGTGGTAGTTAAGAAGAGTCTTGAACATACCATAGACCACCAAGAAAACAAATAAAGCTATCTTGGAAAGAGTGAAAGCAAGTTTCTCCTTGGAGGCTAGGATTTTTGAAGCTGCATTTTACATACTTTGAGCATGTGGCCAGGAGGGACTGATCCTTGAAGAAGGACATCATGCTCAGAAGGGTAGAGGAACAGCACAGGAGTGGAAGACCCCAGATGAGATGGATTGATATAGTGACTAGGGCAATGAGGGTAGGTGTGTTGGAGCCAGAGAGACTGACTCAAGGGCAGGCTTCAGAGGAGCTGCTATGAGTTGCAGGTGACTCAACAGCACATAACCGCAACAAGAAGTTTAACAAAATAAAAATCTTAATAGCTAGACCTATAAGCAGCATTATGATAAATGGAGAAAGATTGAAGTTGTCAAAGATTTCATTTTACTTAGGGATTCAAAATCAACAACCATAGCAACAGTCAAGAAATCTAAAGAAATAATACATTGTGCAAATCTGCAAGGATCTCAAGTGTTAAAAAACAAAAGGTCAGTTTGAAGATCTTATAAGGGTATGTCTGCCATGAGCAATGATATTTCTCAATTGCTTCATATACATAGGAAAGTTAGTAAAGAAGCTGAAAGAGCAGATGCCTTTAAATTGTAGTGTTGGTGAAGAGTATTGAATATACCATAGACTGCCAAAGGACAAAGCTATTTGTCCGGGAAGAGGTGAAGCTAGGATGCTCCTTGGAGGCAGAAATGATGATCCTTCATCTCATATACTTTGAGTATGTTAACAAGAGGAGCCAGTTCCTGGAGAAAGAGATCAGACTTGGAAAAGGGAAAGGTTAGTGAAGGAGACCTCAAAGAGACAGAAGTGGCTAAAACAACAGATTCACAGTGACATTTGTAATCCTTATAGCAGAGACTGAAAATGGTGCAGGGTCAGATTTTGATCCTTTGTGTATGGGGTAATTATGGGTTGGAGTCAACTTGACAGTACTTAACAAGTTGAAGGAAGGAGTCATGGTCATGTAGTGTATTATTTACTAAGCTCCTAACATAAAATTTGGCAGTCTGACTCTATTAGTTGATCTTCAGTATAAAGCTGGGTAACAATCCATACAAGTGTTCAGGTCATTTGTTCATAGGATCACTATGAGTCATCTACAACTCAATGGCACTAACAACAACAAAAACAAGGGAGCTCTGTTGGCCTAGTGGATAGAAAGATATGCTACAAGCCAAAGGAGGGTGATTTTAATCTGCAGCCCTCAGAACTAGTTTGACCCATTTGGGGTCAAACATTCTTCTAAGTGGTATAGCCCTGGTCTGTTCATTTGCTGTACAGAGGTAACTCGTGGTTGATGTGATGCTAACCACTGTAACACTGATATGTCAAATGCGATAATGGTTATCCATGGTGGACGGTGTTTGGTAGAATTCCCTGATTAAAATACACTTGGAAGGAGGGGTGGCATCCACTTCTGAAAAACCTTGGCACTGGAAACTCTATAAACTTGGAGAAACTATGGAAGTTATACAAGTGTTCAGTCTTTCATTCATAGGGTCGCTATGAGTTGTCTACGACTCAATGGCACTTAACAACAACAATAATCCATAAAGGATTTACAGCCTTTGAAATCCAATGGAGGTTAACTATGAATCAAAATGAATTCAACAGCAGTGGGTGGTAGGTTAAGTCAAAGGCAGGTGGTTTCAAGAAAGACCTATATACGGACATAGAGACATAAGTATAAGGATTGATCAAACCCTGCCTCTGGTTTACAGTCAGAATACCTTTATCAGAATATAGTATAGTGTCTTGCCACCACCCCAATTTCAGATCAATATAATTTCTCAGTCATTTCTGATGCCTTAATGTAGTCTTCCTATTCATTCTTTCTAGAACTAGCAAATTCTACCAAATCCTCTAAAAAACTTGCAAGAGTCTTTCTTCTGTTCTCCATATCACTGTTAAATTTCCTTATCAAAATACACAGCAAACTATTATATGGAGAGGTCTATATACAATTCTTGTTGTATTTCTAGTGCTTAACACTGTGACTATCATAGAATGAACAATTAATAAATATTTCTAGAATTAAGAAATCTTATAAATATGATCTGTCAGGTATACATTTTGATCTTTTCATTCCTGTCTTTAGTGACTTTTTTTTTCATGTCTATTCTTTGGTAATTAGTGTTCAATAAAGCAAATTTATTCTTGAAATGGTTTTAAAATTCAGGGGAGATAAACTCAAAATTGTATTTTGACTTTTGTGGGTTTGTTTTAACTTCCTTCAGATTCAATTTGAATTTTCACATAAGTAATAATCTGCACCCAGTTGGCGGACCTTGGTCCTGTTTACCTGCAACTATTGAGCTTCTCCATGATATTTTCCATAGATGGAATCAAGGGCTTAGAGACAAGGATGGTGAAACTTCATCTCATATACTTTGGGCAGGTTGTCAAAAGGGGTCAGTCCTTGGGATAATAATCATGCTGGGAAAGATGGAGAATTTGAGGGAGAGAGGAAGACCTTCAACAAGATGGATTGATACAGTGACTGTAACGATGAGCTCAAGTCTATCAGAAATGGTGAGGATGGAGGAGAATAGAGCAAGGTTTAGATCTGTTCATAGTGTCGCCATGAATCGTGGTTGATTTGTATGGCCCCCAATGACAGCAACAGTCAATTTGATTTTTTTGTATTCCATCAGGTCAATTTCATGTCTATGATTTTTATTTGCATGTATTCAAGTAAGAATTTGTCGTTTACTTCTCAATATGTGTCTAGAGAATCTCATGTCCCAAGTGTATACTCAAGTAATAATGATACTCTTTTATACTAAAGGATAAAATATTATTTTATAACTATTTACATTTTTCTCTTTGGAAACATTACAAGAAGTAATATAGATTTCAATTTCTTGCCCAGTATCTGAAAAAAAGTATGAAACTTGACAGTTGCCTTTAAATTCTAGAGAGAAAAAAAATTTAACACTTTTATAACTTACTGGATTTGCTTTATTCCAGGCAAGGCTGCTGACATTTAGGCCTTTTGTTAAGTCACAGGAAAATGACCAAAGTCGTTCCAAATTGGCTGGTATTTTTGATTGTTGTGCATCTATTTCAATTTCTTCATCTTCATCCTTCTTAGTTTCTTCCTCTGCAACTACATGTTTTTCACCTTGTAAAAAGTCTTCAGCTTCTTCTTCAGGTCCAAGTTCTAAAAGAATAGTATATACATCTTATATATACTATATATACCTGATGTTGTTGATAGGTACTGTTGAGTTGAAACTGACTCATAGCTGATCCTCAGTGAGTCTTCAGAGGCAGTTAATTGCATGAGAGGAGATTGCCTTTCCTTTTCCTGTAGAGCTGGAGGGATTCAAACTGTGTAAATTTGTGACTGCTGTGCAGATTCTTATCACTAAGCCACCGGATCTCGGTATATACATATACATTCATGTATATATCTCAACATATGTACTGTATGTATGTAAATAATGTCGTTCTTTAGTAAAGTAATACTTTTGACTCATTTTAATGTTTCATAAGAACTACTGAAAACACAATCTATACCATAGTAAAGAGTGACTAATTTGTTTTATTTTATTACTCTTTAAAGAATATCACAAAGGACAGTGGTGGTTTAACTGTAAAATTTTCTCCTTGAAACCAGAATTTGATTCTTGGCCAATGTACCTCACTCTACTGTCAGTGGAAGATAAGAGTATTGCTATGATGTTGAACAGGTCTTAATGGAGCTTCTAGAATAAGACAGACTAAGAAGAAGGGTCTGGAAAAATATTTCTGAACATTAGTCACTAAAACTCTATGAACCACACAAGGTTGTGTGATCTAGTTGTACATAAGGTATCTATGATTGGGATCCAACTAACAACAACCAAAAAAATTACAAATTAAATAATCAAAAAGCATTTTAAATATATATAATTTTTTCCTTAAAGGTATTTGGTTTTGTGTATGGATTTTAATAGTTTTAATTTAAATTCAATTTCAGAGACTTAGAGGGCCTGAACAAAGTGTTATTTCCCAAAGATAAATTAATCCAAGATATACTTGTTGTTGTTGTTGTTGCTATGTGCCGTCAAGTCGCCTGCGACTCATAGCGACCCTATGTACAACAGCCCTAAACTCCGCTCTGTCCTGTGCCAATCGCACTGTCTCTGACACTCCCATCCCAATTATCCCAGTCACTGAATCAATCCACCTCATAGAGGGCCTTCCTCTCCTGCGGCGTCCCTCCACCCTCCCAAGCATGATGTCCCTCTCCAAGGACCGGTCTTAGCTCTTTAAAATATTTATTATCTAAAATTTAAAGATTTATCTTTTTTAGGAATGCTACATAACATAACAAATCTTTATTACTTTAAATCTAATGATGCTTTTAGCTTTTTATACATATAGTTGATATCACAATTCAGTCCATTTGATGATAAAATAGAAACCTCTGTTAAACAGATAGTAGTTCTTACTTTTTTAAGGTCTCCTTATTTTACAATTTTGTGAACACTGTGAATACTTATCAGAAAAATGAACATATACATAAAGCCTAAAAATCTGCACATCTTTTCAGGAGTCTCACGGAACCCATAAAGCTGATCATGAATATAATAAAAATTGCCTATGTCCCTGATTAAAACAAGCTTGGAAGCAGAAGTGGCATCCACTTCCATAATAGCTTGCCTCTGGAAACCCTGTGAACCTGGAGAAAAGACAAAAGTTATACAGGAGGTGTCCAGGACTTTCGTTCATAGGGTCGCTATGAGTCACCTATGACTCGATGGCACTTAAGAACAACAACATGGAGAAACTACAGTCAAATATACAGAAAAGCAATAAATTTAACATAGCTGTCCAAGATACAAAATAAATTGCATTTTTATGTACCAGGAATACATATCATGACTTGTATACCATGAGTTAGTATGCATTTCTAGTCTTTTAAATCTCTTTATATGTATGGAAAAGTTTAGCAATAAAGATTTCTGGAGGAGAACTTTTATCTTTGAGTTATTATACTGTAGAAGAATACTGAATATACCATACACTGCCAGAAGAATGAACAATTCTGTCCTAGAAGAAGTTTAGTGAGAATGATAAAACCATTATTGTAGAATGAGGAGGAAAGGAGGTGGATGCAGACAAGTAAGGATGAGTTGGGGGGTGGAATTAATCATGGGGTTGCATGATTTAATGGGGGTTGAGAGAAACGGAAAATATCTGGAGTGAAAAAACAATGTATTTGAATGTTGTAAATTAACTAGCATAAAAAATGTAAAATAGAATGTATATGAATGATTGTATGAAACACAATGTAAATGAGAGATTGTATAAAACAATGTATATGAATGAAACATACTGTAAAGGTACTATTACATGAAAATCAATTGAAAAAAGTATTAAAAAATAACTTCTCAAGAGGGGGAAACTATATTAAGCACATATTCTCATTCTAACACACTGCAATTTCAACAGCATTAAAAGGAGAAAAGAATATGTCTTTGTACTACAAGATAAACAACCCAATTGAAAAAATGGGCACAGGATAGGAACAGACACTTCACCAAAGAAGACATTCAAATGGCAAAAAAACACATGAAGAAATGTTCAAAATCTCTAGCTCTAAGAGAGATGCAAATCAAAACAACTATGAGATATCATCTCAAGTAAGAATAGAAAAATTTAACAGAATGGCAAACAATAAATGCTGGTGAGGTTGCAGAGAAACTGGAACCCTTAGTCACTGTTTGTGGGAGTGTAAAATGGTACAACCACTATGGAAGGCAGTATGGCGCTTTCTTAAAAAGTTGCAAATAGAAATACCATTTGACCCAGCAATGTGAATTACCCTAAAGAAATCCTAGGAATACACCCTAAAGAAACCATAACTGCAACCCAAGCAGATATATGCACACCTATGTTTATTGTGGCTTTGTTCAGAGTTGGAAACAACCTAAATGTTCATCAACAAACGAATGGATAGAGAAGCTGTACTATATTCACACAATTGAATACTACGCTGCATTGAAAAACAAGGAACTCATGAAATATTATACAAAATGGATGACCATAGAGGACATTATGCTAAGTGAAACATCTCAATCACAAAAAGACAAATACTGCACAGTACCACTGCTGTAAAGCAGGACTGACATCAGAGTTGCGGGGTGGGGGGCGGCGCGGGGAATAATGTATACTGCATTGAAACAGATGAGGGAGATATTTAGTTTGGGAGGAATATATGATTAGGTATTATTGCCATGAAGAGTACAAAATGAAAGCTGCGTAGTGGAGTGGACTGGGGAATTTTTTAACAGTGAAATAATTTTTTATTTTTTTTTTGGTGAGTAAAATTTATATTTAGAATTAGCCCGCTGGACTCAGTTTAGATGATCCCAATTTTGTTGGCAACATCCAAAGCATCATAATCAGGAGCAAGTCGAACATAGGCCTTCTTCTCTCCATCAGGCCTAATCAAAGTGTTGACCTTTGCCACATCAATGTCATAGAGCTTCTTTACAGCTTGTTTAATTTGGTGCTTGTTGGCCTTGACATCCACAATGAACACAAGTGTGTTGTTATCATCTATCTTCTTCATAGCTGACTCAGTGGTCAGGGGAAATTTGATGCTGGCATAGTGGTCAAGCTTGTTTCTCCTGGGGGCGCTCTCCCAGGGATATTTGGGCTGCCTTCGGAGTCTCAGCGTCTTCGGCCGCTGGAAGGTGGGTGACGTGCGGATCTTCTTTTTTTTTGGCTGTAGACGCCCTTCAGGACTGCCTTCTTGGCCTTTAATGCCTTTGCTTTGGCTTCAGTTTTGGGAGGGGCAGGGGCTTCCTTCTTAGCTTTCAGGGCCATCTTCGTAGAAAGGGCAACAATGAAATAATTTTTGAAAAATTTTCCCAAGAGAAAAGTGAACTAGGGGGAGGGGTGGTCAGGGAGGAAAGTGTGCAACAATGAATGAATGGAAATCCAAAGTCTCTACAAACTTTCAATAAACTAAATTTTAAAAGAAATAGTATAGTGAGAATGGTCCTAAGAAGTGAGGATGGCAAGATTTCATATCATATATTTTGGGCATAGTTTCAGAAAGAACCAGTCCCTAGAAAAGAACATCCATGTGTGGTGAAGTAGAAAAAAAGGAAGGCTTTCAGTGATGTGAATTGAAACAGTGTCCAAAACATAAGCTGAAACAGCAATGATTATGAGGTTAGCACAGGACGGAGCAGGGTCGTGTTCTGTCACACACAGGTTGATATGAGTTGGCACCAACTAAATACCAACTATGAGTTGGCAACAACTAAATGACATCTAAAAAACAGTATAGGAATAAAAAGTCAGAAAGTGAAATTTTAAAATAATACTATTTATAATGTGATCAGAAAATAGTAACTATGTAGGGACAAATTTGATAAAAATCAGAACTATCTGAGCACTGTAAGTACTTAAAGAAGTGTAAGAGGACTCAAGTAAATGTAGAGATAAACCAGATCCCTGGGTGGAAAAACTCAATGTTATCAACTTGAAAATTCTCTTCAAACTGATCTTTATTTTTTTTTCTATAATTATATTTTATTAATTTTCATAAACATTTACAGAGATTTTGGGCTTCCACTCATTCATTGTTGCACTATTCTCTCTACCCTCCTCCCAGTTTGATCTTGTCCAAATGCCACAGTGCTTGTCAAAGCCAGTTCTGATTAATCTTCTTTGTCAGTGTGTCCTTTGCCATTCCCTATCACTCCTCCCTGAGAGAGACTTCACCCTGAGTCATAAGGAAAAGGGGATGGCGTATTCTCTTAGCTACTTCCTGCTGAAAAGGGACGCTGTGGGTTTCAGGGTGAAGATCTTCTCTCACTACTCTAAAGGGCCCCTTTGGCAGTAGGAAACACATAGACTATTATGGAGATTGATTTTGGAATTTAGATGCACTCTTATTGATTGTGCTTGGCCATACATGTTCATATCCTTGAAGATGTATCATGGGGGTGTTGCAACCTAGAAGACACAAATTTGACTAACAAGTTATAAGTACATGAGTCCAAAAATTATGGAAAAGTAAAAGAAAAGATTCTTTCATTGTTTTACAAACCCTCCCCCAGGTCCCCTCCACCATGTAGCCCTCGCTCTAGTCTCCTGTGATGACAGAAATACCCAGTTATATCTCTCTTTTAAACGGTTCTCTCCCTCCTCTGTTTC